TCTAGCACTAAATAATATAAAAAATCATTATCAGAAGTAATTGCTGTATCTAAGAGTGTCTTCCCCTCTGTCTCTCAGTTTCTCAACAAACACTTGCAAATGCATCAGTTTCCAAATGCAGACATATCATGGCTTTTACCAACAAAAAGGAATTAGAATATTATGTGTTTTGATAATTGTTATCTATCAATACAGCATCCCTGCAGCTTTGCACACTCAGTAACTCAGTGCTTTCTGGGTGGTGTGTGTAGCAGTGTGATGCATTCTCACATATTTCCTCCCTCCACCAAAATCAGGTCATGCTGATAGCTGTTTTCTGCTATTGGCCATATCAAGCCGGGCTGTGATGCTTATGCATGGGTCTTAGCTCATCTCACTGTGAAGTGATTAACAGATAATTATATGCATGGATTGCATAACAGACAAGTAACACTCGGAGCTGAATAGGTTGTCGTTTAATGAGGAATATTTAACGGCTTCATATACAAGAATGTTTTAAGACTCTCTCTCTCACTCTTGCTGTTTTTTGTGGTTTGAGAAAATCTGTTTCACAGTTTCAGGCCTCTCATTATAGTAGGTCACCAACCAGTCTTGGTTGCACGGGGAGAGTCACAGACTTTTCCCAGCAGGATCTGTGTCATGCTGATCTTTTTATTAGCCTAACTGTATCAGTGGATTATCAGAGAAATTAGCTCAAACATCTCACAGAGGTGTTTATGAGGCAGCCCACACACTTGACACTTTATTGAGAAAGATTCTGATCTGATTCTGATTTCTGATTCTGATTCTGATTCTGATTCTGAAACACAGCAAGGCAGAAATATGATTATGAAGTTACTGACTACATGAGACACAGGCTCACTAGCTTTCTGAAATAGCTCCTTTGTGGTGCATTCATGACTTGGTATCAAAAACAGGTCTTGTTAGACGTTTAACCAGTTGCTGATGTTGTTTGGCTCAGAGCCGTGGTCTCCAGCAGCACAATGACTGGCTCTGACTCTCCCTCGGAGCCTGGCTCAATTCAATCCCGTACCAGTGGTCCTCTTCATTGGACAGGTCGGTGTCGCAGAGCATCATTTGTTTGACAAGGATGGCACCTGCCTCATCAATATTTATATTGTCCTATAAATGGTGAGGGGGGAATATGATTTAGAGCATTGTGTATGCATCCGTTGAGTTAAGTGTTTGGCTCGGTGTTCAAAACTTGGCTGCAAGATATTACTTTTGGGTTAATATTTTAAGAGGTTTTATGAGCATGCTGTATATAGCTGCAGTGTTAAAGTTCACACATAAAGTATATTATAACCTCATGCAATTCTAATGGTGAGTCACAAGATCCACTGGTGGCTTTACTCAGGCAGAATGGAGCTTCAGCAATGCAAAATCAAATTTCTCAAATGCAGAAAACACAATATAAACAAATAAATACATAAATAATTCAATATGTAGTCAATAAATCACTAGCTTAGAGAGTAAAGTTAATATTATTGACACAAGCCCTTTAAGTAAGTGACAAAATACAGTCTAGACCAGCTTCCAATCTCCAAATTTGGTGATTTAATGGGTAATGAGAAAATTCTCCTTCTTCTGCTAAATAGATGATAATGGATGTATCTCCATTAAAACAAACATTAAAATAAATGGGGTTGTTTTTCTTGGAGAGATTTTTGTCAGGACAGCAATGAAAAGCTAAAACACAATGTAACATTATTATGGGGTAGAGAAAGGTCATAAAGTCAGAGATATGACTCAGTAATTTCAGTCATAGTGTCTATCTAAAGTTTGTTAACATTGGCTGTAGATAAGCTACTGGTCATAGATGATGACTGGAGAAGCTGAATCTCTGAGGGCATGGAATTGAGTAAGGGTGCATATTATTGCTTATGAATTTAACTTTTAATTAGTAAAATAAAGAAAATGTGTTATTTTATCTTTTCATGTTTCATAGTCTTGCTTTATCATTGTGAAGAATAAAAGAAAAACATGCCTACAAGACCTATTTTAAGTAATTCTTACTGTATTTAATTTCTTTAGCTCTACTTTAACAACATTTTGTCTTTAGGTCAGATAGGTCTACTTTTTGTAACAACAAGTGTTACTCCTCTTGCTTTATTAATTGTTAAAGACTATGTTCAGTTGCCCTTGGGCAAAAACTAGCTGTTGGGCCCCTTGTGACCCCCCCAACAAACATTTATTAAAGAAAAACCACCAAGTTAGCATTTAAATACAGCAATGAAGGTGTTAAAATTTGATTTTCATAAATAATACAGGGCCTGTCTTGAGTAATAGTGTACTTAAGTGGTGCAAATTCTCATTTCTCAATCTCGTTTAGTTTTAATTCAACCAATAACACCTCTAAGAAATGTCTGCATATCTCTAACTGCTACAGACAGATTTTCTTCTCCCATAAAAACTAAACTATAACACACACCTTTGCAGAGGTCTCAAACCACCCTATGAAGTTGTTGTCTTTACAGAAGCCATCCAGAGAGGACACCAAGTCTTCGTGTCTTCCTGTCATGTCACATTTGTTGGCCAGCAGGACAGCGGGGATTGGATGTCCGCTGTCCAGACAGACTTTGCCATCTAGGTCCCGCTTCCACTCTGAGGCACCCTCCAAGGTGGAGCTGTTTGTCATGTCAAAGACCACTACTGCTCCCATTGCCCCTTTGTAGTACACTCTGGACATGTTCTTAGACCTCTCCTGGCCTTGAGGGAAGAGAAAATAAATCTGTGCAATATATTCTTCACCACATACAGTTTATAGTTATAGTATAGCTAATTTAATTTGTAGTTGGCCGAGAGAGAGACACTTAGTCAGTACTGTTTGTTTTATGTGTGATTTGAATTATCATATAAAATCGGACTGTAGCCTAAACGTTATGCAACAAGTAAGAGACTAACGACAATCATTTTCTGAAATAAAATGCTATGTTTCCATGGACACTGGTTAGGATTAAAATTAGATCTGAGAAAACATTGGGTAAAAAAGCTGCAGTTTTACTTGCAGCAGTTTGAAGGCACTGAAAGCACTCCAATACTGTGAACTTACTCAACAGTTATAATCAAAACACAGCATGATTTATTCGAGATTGAAGGTCATTTCTCCAGAATGGATAACCTGTTGGACTTATGTGAAGGTCAAATTTAAAACTTTCAGCAAAGAATCACTGGCAATAGTTCTTTAATTGTATTTAACTGTATGCCTTTTTAAGTTAATTATTTTACCCCCCATAATTAAACATTTTCATACTGTAAAACCTAAACGGTGCACTCTGCCTTTGGATAATCCTCACGAATGCAATTAAGAAATCTAATCAACTACAAAGTATTTTCTTTCAGATTCCTTATCAATTTTTCATCACCGTCATGATCATCATAACAACAACATTAGCATTAGCTGGGTTTTTAATTCTCCATGATAATTGGGTTTTATTAGCTACTACTTCATTTAATTATGTTGAATAACAAATACATTAACCAATATATCAGTTTATCAAAATTGATTCGTTCCACTTACAGATAACAGTTAGAAGGAAACTAATAAGTATGTTTTGGGTTTTTTTTAGCTTTAACTTAAGCTAACCATGACTATCTCACTGACTAATCTAGCCCTCATGACTAAGGGAACCTTATGGGGGAAATACATAGTTATTTTTTCACCTATTATCTGGCAGCAGTTTGCATTGTTCAAAGTATTTTCATGATCATGTGACGGGTGTTTACTGTCTGCCTTGTATGAGAACATCTTTGCCGGATGTGAAACCAACATTTAAATCCACTATTTCAACCAACTGTGCCCTGCTTTTCTGAAAGAACTACAAATATGGCCCCATTGTTCTCTTCCTAGCTGTACAATCTGTGGAAAGACTGGATTTAAATGTACATATATGGGGCTAAGGCTAAAGTAGCTTTCACTCGATATAATGATTTGGCTTTAGCTGTCTTGCCAGAGTGCATTACTGCAGTTTTGTTTTTAGTTTAGTTTTGTTACTGCAGATTTTACACTGTTTTTACAGTAATTGCAGATTTCTATGGTATAATCATTTGTATATGTGGTAAAACAGATACCAGAAAGTCTATATTATTGTGTTTTGGCTTCGTAGGGCACACATCTGCAACAGAGACTTCATAATATTTACACTCACCTGCTATATCCCAAATCTGTAGTCTCGCCACTGTCTTGTCATCCCATTCAATTGTTTTTAGAGAAAAGTCAACTCCAATAGATCCTTTGTATCTTTCATCAAAGCGTTTATCAACATAACGCATGATAATGCTGCTTTTTCCAACGCCTATATCCCCAATGACTAGAACTTTAAACAGCTTGTCTGTACATAATGTCATTGCAATCCCTGCCATGTTGTAATTAACAGGCTTAGGTATGGAGACAGGTAAAACTAGGTCTGCTTCAAACAAACAAAGGTTTTAAATAATCTACATTTACCGTAGATGTCTCAACCCTACTTCTGTTAACGACTATTTCTTAGTGTTACTGCTTTGAATTTCTTCCTTCAAACCAAAGCCATAAATATTTGACCTTTGATTTAAAACACTGGAGTAAGACCAAGAGCAGAGCGCCACCTAATGTTTCACCATGAAAAACAGGAGACAAAAGCATAGAAAATACTTAATTTACTCCAATCAAACAAGTGACCTTTTAAATGCTCTACAGTAAATATTTGTTTAAAATGGCAGACTTAATTTATACTGTGTATATATCAGGCTGCAAATAGCTTATTCAGAATATTACGTATAACAGTAACAGTAGCACTTCATCACATTATACGGTTTTGATTGGTTTGTTAAGTCTTAATACTTAGGAAACTGATTGGTGTGCACAACCAATCACACGATAGAAGCATACACAGCTAATAAGTTCTTACTAATACTGTAATGCATATAGATATCATCTGAATACCAAAATATGATACACAATTCATACATTCACAAAACATATGTATGTCATTTATCTTATACATAAATCTATACAATTACGAAATCAGATGTCTAATTATAAAATATACAAATTTGAAACTAGTTTAACTCGCATTTCAGAACCATAGAAATGAGATAAATGTAGAAAAAAAAAACTCTTAATGAAAATGTGGCACTTGAACTTGTCCTCTGCTACATTCATGATACAGTCAGTGCATTTGCCTGGCAGTACTGTATCAATCAAAATTTACAGATAATTGTTTTATTTGTTTTTTTTTTTACCAACGAGAAATCATGTTGACGTAACACATTTTTAAATTTCCTCAAAGGAGAACATTTTTATTCTCCTCTCCCGGCTTAAAGAAAAAGGTCGACATTTTTGGAAAAACACTTATTTGCTTTTTGTGCCAAAAGATCGATACCACTCTCATGTTTGTACACACGTTTGTGTGGTTAGCTTAGCATAAAGACTGGAAACAGGAGAAAACATCCGGCCTCGCGCTGTCTAAACATCACAAAATATGCCTACCAGCACCTCTAAAGCTCACTAAATAACATGTTCTATCTTTTTTGTTTAATCCATACAAAAAACAGGAATCTAGCTTTTCCCCGTTTCCCATCTTTATGCTAAGCTAAGCTAATTGTTGATAGCTGTAGTTTAATATTTAGTCGACAGATACTAAAGTGGAAGAGATCTTCTCATCAAACTCTCTTACAGAAAGCAAATAAGTTTATTCTCCTTAATGTCGCACTATTCCTTTAAATCTTCCATTTTCTGATAAAGCACAAAACACACAATGTGTAACAGAAAACATATTTTTCTAAAAATATTGTTGACAAACTGTTTTGCATTACAAACAGATTATATTGACCATTAAGTTGCCCTGTTTAAAATCAGCAAACTAATCTGCTTGTTATGTCACCTATATTCATTAAATGAATCTACTTATATTAAATGTACATACAGGCAATCTTAGTTGTCTTATAAGCACAGAATCTATTTTATCCTAAAAGCTTATGTTAGCATTTGAAATAGGCTTTTTTTTTCTCACTACTGTAGACAAAACATCTAAAAGAATTTTAAAACGTGGCGCCTTGTTGTTCACCCTTATCATGTAAAAGCTATCAGTTATAGAGTGAAAAATGACTTGTCAGACCACAGAATGACTTTTTCCTTATATATCGTCATATACAGCACAAGTCATTATGAACGTTAAAATATTGTACAACTGGTAACATGTAGTGTGCACCCTCACAGAGTTGAGGAGCTTTGCTTGAAGTCTCTGAGGATAACAGAGGCATATGTCACATTTGGAGGACTGCACAAGATTGACTCCGACACTGGCGAATTGGGAAAGGGGCTCACTGGGGAACCAGTGCAATCTCGGAAAGGGGAGGGAGGCATCAGAGCCACTGAGTCCTCCATGGCTAATTTGACCTCAACCAAGTCCTCCTCATCGTGAATCTTGGCGTTGTTGTACATGTAGCCGTGGAGAAGGCCAAACTGCTCATTCTCCATCTCCTCCTCCTCTAAAGGGGAGGTGGGCTCCTCGTCAAATGGGTCGAGGTGCATGGGCAGGACCGGTTCCTGCTGGATGAGGTGGGCCTGGTGGTATACAGGCATGCCGCCGCTCACGGCCTCAGGCATGCTAATCATCTCATTAAGCTCAGGGATGTCACTCTTGAATTTACGATTTACCACCATCTCCCCCTGGAGGCGGTCCATGATGATGTGTTGGGGAATAATGATATTTGGCTGCAGATGCTCGGGGGTATAGAGTTCCACCTCCTCGTCCACGTCTTTTATCTGCCCACAGCCAGGAATTTGCCCGTGGGCCATCATGGGGGGAGTGGCCGGGGGATTGTATCTGACAGGGTCACTCTCGTCCTCCTCAGCCACATTGTACAAGGTCTTAGTGCTGAGGTCTGAGAACTCCAGCGCTCTGTTTTGGTACGTATTAGTTAAGGGTTTGATGACAGCCATCTGATTGGAACCTGCTTCCTGTCTCTTCACATGCACTGACAGTCTGTGCCACATGTGATCCCCTTTTGGAGGATGTCTTGCACCTGGTTCAGACCATGACACAGACTTTCCATTAGAACTATGAACAAAATAAAGACGGCTGTTACTGCAGGAACCCAGAAGAGTGAAGACAAAAAACAGCATCTCTGGTTCATGTAAGAAAGATAAATATAAAATATTTATCTGAAATATATATTGTACGTAATGTTCCAGGGTATCTGCAGGTCTTAAAAAATCTTAAAAAGCATTGAATTCAATTTAAAAAAGTCTTTAATATTTCCTCTTGCCTGTCATAGGCAGTGATGGTAGTTATAAAATGCTTTCTTATCCAATTGTAGGCTGTCAGGAGACATAAAGCAACTAAAAGTGGGATTGTTTTCGACAGTGGATTTAATCTCAATCTTTTTTTTCATCAGATCTATTGCAGAAAATGTCACAACTGCTAGCTACAGTGGCCCAGATTTATTCTATCACTGGGAATTATTGTTATATACTCCTGGAAAGTGCTAAAAAAGGGGGGATATAATTCTAAATAATGCTATGCCATATTGTCCCTACTGGTTTCCATTATACTTTAATATTTTAACTGGAATTAAATTGAATTCTATGTGGTATTAAAGCATCTTTCATTAGGTGAATCCTGCAGAAACCCTGTATTCTGTATTTGTGATCCCACTTGTCATCCCTTAGCACACAGAGATGCTTGTTTTAATTTTACCACCAGTTCAAAGGTTAAAATGACTGTGTGAATTGAGCACTGACCTATATCCGTCACACTTTACAACAGGTGTCCCTATGAAAGTGAATACAGTAAGACATCAGGTTCCCTTTGAGAGGGAATTACAGTAAAACCAGCATCCCTGAGGTGCCTCAGGAGCAGGACTCAGACTCAATTAATGAACCTACCTGCCGTTTCCAGTGTTCTTCTTCCTCTTGAACATGTTGAGCAGGCTGTTGCTTCGGCAGGCAATTTTTCCATCGCCGACATGCATGCGCACAGCATCAGACGTAGTGAACGCACTGCGCACGTTTCGCTCTGGTTTGGCAATTATGATGTACATCTTTGGTGTGAACATACAGCCCAAGGCCACAGTCACACTGAGGCTTACAGAGAAGGATGTGGTGATGATCTTGTAGTTGCTGCCAAAGTAGATTGGCACAAACGCCAGCCAGATTATACATGTGGTGTACATAGTGAAGGCGATGTACTTGGCTTCGTTGAAATTTGCAGGAACGTTGCGGGTCTTGAAGGCATAATATGTGCAGCTCATGATAAGCAAGCCGTTGTAGCCCAGAGGGGCCACAACACCCACGTTGCTGGTGTTGCAGATGAGGAAGACTTCTCTGATGCTGGGGTAGGATTTGATGGGTTCAGGAGGCTCCATGATGATGAGGGTAACCTCCAAGGTGAGCTGGACACTGATCAAGATGGAGGCAATAACCACTTGAGCCCAAGCGCTCATGAACCTCGGTTTCCTGGTGCAAATCTTCTTCTTGCTGCCTGCCAGAATACGGGCAATGCGGTTGGTTTTGGTTACCAGGGCGGAGTAGCACATGGCAGCTGAGAGTCCGACAAGGAGCCTCTGGAGGTAGCAGGAAGCCACGGTGGGACGGGCGATGAGGGTGAAAGGACACAGATAGCCCAGGAAGATCCCTGCGAGGATGATGTAGCAGAGCTCTCGGCTGGAGGATTTGACCACAGGCGTGTCACGATATAAGACAAAGATGAAGGCAACAAATGACGTGATCAGGATGCCCACGCAGGAGAAAACCACCTGGATAATGGACTCTGGATTGCTCCACTCCAGGTAGCGCAGGGGGATTGGCTCACAGCCTGAAAAGTATAAAAACATGACAATATAAAAACACAGCCACAATACACTAAAAGCACCTCATATATTTTTCAGCATTTCAACATCAGTTTGGTGGTTAGATTTCTGGTTATCTACAGAATAACTGCCTCAATAAAAGGTAGATTTCAGAAGAATGCAAAGAATTTTTTTAGAGTTTCAAGGCTTTATTGTATGGCAATGTTCAAAATTAATCAAGTACATTTGAGCCTGAGAAAATACAGTAAGTCTCAAAGTAGGTTTTTAGCTCAACTATAAATAAACTCCTTTCTACTCAGCCATGGCCAGGCTGGGCTGCAGCCAGTGGAGGAGGGGGGGCAATGCACCAGGACAAAGTAAATCACTGCGTTTTTCACGGATCCAAGTAAGATCTCCTTTCTGCTTCATGTTGAGGACACACTTTGAATATCTAATTTATATTGCTTTATTTATTTATTGTGTAACAGCAGGAGGGCAAGGGTTAGAAAACTGCACAAGAATCATTTTTATATCATCCCTGCGCTCCACATTTCCTCGTTTCTGTGCGTACCTAAAGGTCTTCTGGTTGAAGAAAAAGGAAACAGCATGTAGGCAGGATGATCCTATTAAGAAAGTGTCTTGTCTTTGAACAGCACAGAAGGCCTTTGAAAGTGGGCCAGAAGAACGGTAAG